TCACCGCCCTCAGCCTCCCCTGTCACCGCCTCCTCCTCCATCTCGAGTTCGCCCAGCCGCCCACCTCTCCCCTCGTCGCCGACGAACTCCTCTGCCGCCCCGCCTCCAGCAGCCGTCGACCACCAGCGCCATCTTCCTCTCCTCCTCAGATCCGATAGCGTGCGTCGCAATTAGCCCTGACCTGAGTTCGCTGTAGTCCGACGTCGAGCTCTTCCCCGACAGCTCCACGTCGAACCCCGTACCTAGCCGCGGATAGCCCCTCGTCGGAACTCTCCCCGACGTCATACCCACCGCATCAGACCTGATCCGCGCCATCAGCGTCGATACGTTCGACGAACCCTGAGGCAAGATCCCGTTGCTCAGTTGTCATTCTTTACATTTTAGATTGTTATGATTTATCTGCATATTTTGAATTGTGAATTGTTATTATCTGTGTGGGAATGTTGATGACAATATTTCAAATGATAAATTAATGTTTTTCTAGATTTATTTGAATTATTATTATGAGAAATAATTTTTAAAAGAGTTATTCTAGAAAAATGGTTTAAATTGAATTATTATAATAAAAAATGAGTTGAAAGAATTTATTTTGAAAAATGGGTTAGTTTTGAATAATTATAATGTTAAATAATTTTAAAGGAAATTTTTGGAAAAGGGATTATTTTTAAAAGAATCTATTTTGGAAAAGATTATTTTTGGAATTAATCAATTTATGATCATGACGATTGGAAATTTTGAGATTTCATGCGTAATTATTTGATAGTTGTAGTTCCATCTTGCACTGTTATTAGTAGTTGTTCACGTTTCCTGTTCATGATTCATGACACTGTTACATAGTATTCATTGTATTTATATCTTGTTATAGTTGAGAATCACGAGTATTACTTGACCATAGCGATCCGTGAGATATGAGTTCTTGACTTGGATTTGGGAAGGGAAGGTCTGGGTTCATGTTATCGGATATGTTTCTTGTTTATTTCCAGGCTCGCACCAGTGAATCGTTTCGTACTGGGGTGGGTCTGAGGAGCGGTGGTATTGTGATTATTGATTATTTCCAGGCACGTACCAGTGAATCGTTTCGCACTGGGGTGGGTCTGAGGAGCAGTGATTGGATGTGTATTGTTTATTCCAGGCTCGCACCAGTGAATCGTTTCGCACTGGGGTGGGTCTGAGGAACGGTGATATTATGATTATTGATTATTTCCAGGCACGCACCAGTGAATCGTTTTGCACTGGGGTGGGTCTGAGGTACTAGTGAGATGTGGTTGTTAACCAGATATCCAATAATGTGAACTTTGACTCTGTGAGAGATGTAAACCAGTGACCTGTATAGAATGGCTAGTTACATGACCTCGTTCTTGGCTAGGTATGAATTCTTGTGAGAGGTAGTCTAGTTGTGTTTCTTTTTATACATAGATCGTGATTAATATTTAATTATTTACAATTCGAGACATATGGTATATACATGAGGGTTTCCTTGTTTGGATTATTTCGCTCGACGTACTACGTCTCGAGTTGTAGAGTTTTAAGTATTAATTTCATCTAGTGTATGACCTTGTGACTTGGATGATTTCTGATCACTAGCTGCATGATCTCGTTACCCGTTTGATTTATGGATTCTTATGTTTATCATGTTTTAGTAGTGTTATCGCATGGCGGTTTTTGTGGAATTTCCAGTTACACGTTCTTTTATCAATTCTGTTATCGTATCGTTTCCGTTTTGGTTTTCGTTGTTCTATTTTCCTTGTGGGGTCTTGCCGTGTGGCTTGCACCCTGACGTACACCTATTTTCTCTGGTGTACGTCAGACTTAGAAGAAGAACATGTTCAGCTTGGAGATGCGCCAGAGCCGAGGATTCTCAGCAGGAGTGCCTTGTAGATGGAGTAGAAGAATAAGCTGAAGCTTAGTCATTCCTTTCAGTTTGTTTTGTAGCACCTTCATGTCCTTTTGCTCAGCGTATTTTATATTCTCCAGTATTTCATTCAGATAGTTTGTATAAGAGCATGTTGACCCGAATATTATGTCTAGGATGAATATTCATTGTGATATGTATTATTTTATTCTGTGTTGTTCATTATATTCTTGCTAATTGTGATCGGGGACCTGTGACTTCGCATTGTATCTATTTCCAGACGCTTAGCGTATTGGATTGAGAAGAAAAAGAAAAAAAAATGATAGTGTATATTTCTTCTCGATCTAATACGTCGCGGGCTTGTTCACGTTCCGATTCCCGGGTATTTTGGGAAGCGGGGCGTGACATCTCAGCTGGTTCCAAGAGATAGGGTGCGCGGGATATCGGGGCTATACCTGGCTGTAACTCAATACTAAACTCAACCTCTCACACAGGAGGTAATCCAGGTATGTCCTGAAAGACATCCTGATACTCTGAGATAACTCTAGTCTCCAATAAATCAATACCATGATCCCATCGCATCACCTCCTCGATGTACGCCAGAAATAACTCCGCAAAACGGTTGCCCTGGGAGGTTGCTACAATCATCTCGGACCCATCGGACGCTCGCAAATTGACCGTCTACACAAAGCAGTCAATACTATCATGGTAGGAAGATAACCAATCTGTACCAAAAATTTGACATCGACAATACGATCAACTCGATGTCTAACTCAGACTCATCTAGTTTGATGACACATCTCCTACAGATGGAAGGGACACCCCCTTAGAGGGGTAGGCACTAACAATGGAAAATCTAAGGAATGCCACAAGCTGACACCCATCAACAAAGGTACGAAGGATAGGAGATAAACGAATTTCATAAATCAAACTAGATCCGAACTGAAAATGAAATCACGAATAAAGCTCCGCTCGTACCATGATCATGCGGTAGAGCTGAATAGACTTTACTGGATAGTGAAAATCTCCTGGATAATGCAAATCTGGCCTGCTGGCCCCTAAATCTTCGGATTAACAAGTAGTACTTCTATTTGCTCAATGCTGGACGAAATTACGACTCTGAGATTATCGACAATGACCTTTATCATGCTAGCTTCCTGCTGTGAACTGCTACAAGTCTTTTGCTATTTATTCAACCTTGTTGTGATTGTAACATGTTTCTCCGAATCTCTGCACTACTCCGGCGCTCTCTAATCACATTGTGCTCCTTTCTTATCTTGTCCTTGTTGCTGGGATAAAATCATTCTCCCGTTGTTAGGTTTCTCTAGATTTCCGTAATGGTTCTCTTGCCATTGTCATTGTCACTATTCTGGATTTTGATTTCTTTCTTCACTATGGGTATATCTCCCTGCTTCACTTAGACTAGCGCTAATTATTTGATGAAGAAATGACCTAAATTCTCCCAAATAGGTGATAATTGCTGTCTCGTCAAAAAAATCTGGATGTTATTGCTATCCTCTTGGTTCCTAGCCGATGTTCAAGAAACTTTCATATACTCTTTCTCTTAAAGGTTGCAATTGAAACTGGTGTGCCTTAAAATTTTGGTGCTCATACTGTCTGATATTTTTCTTATCCTTTCAGAGTTAAATCTCCTGCTCTGCGGCTCTATCAACAACTGATTGTGGTGGTGGTGTACTCATTGGTATTTTATCTTTACTTCCATGACGGGTACAACCAGTGGTGAATCTCTTGAAAGTGGTGTTGCTGACGAAAACAGATACACTTCTTGCTCCTCGATTATTGTAAGATCTTGCTGATAACGATGCCATGAAGTCGATCAAATACTGTGGAGCCTGCTGTGGCTCGGCTCTGCATGCCCAGCTATCCAGGTACGAGTTTTACCTCGACCACATCCTCGTTTCGATATTTATAATATCAAAAGGAGAGCTTAATTTTCACAGTAAGTGAGATATCAAAAATACATATATATAACGTATCACAATACGAATTCATAACACATAGTATTCACACAAATACCTTCAATCAACATAAAATAGTTGTCATAAAAAAAATTTCTTAATTTTTGAGATATATGCATATATCGTCCTCACTCATAATAGGAAATCCTTACGGACTCTATACATGAATCCTAAGAAACTCTATCCTAGCTTCACGACTCAACACAGGATGATCCTAAGGATACTGGAACTAGAGCTCGGATACCAACTGTGACGCCCCTATTTTCACACATGGCTGCAGTCCAAGGTGAACCCAGATATGTCAAACCTGCCATGCACCCACATTGTGCTACAACAAGTTTCACCAATCATAGTAATATCCTCTAGTGGGATCAAATAAAAGCGTAGGTACAAAACAGACAAAGAAGTAGAACAATAATAATAGACATGATAAAGAGGATGATATCTCATAAATAAAGGTCATGTCTTAACTGAAAATAAACTGAAATACATATGGAGTCTGAAATAACATACGATGTCTCAACATGAATCAAAACGGAAAGTCGAACTAAGGCACATTACCTTTACAAAATGAAACTAAACTCTAAGTCTGCATAAAATTTAAAACTACAGTGGAGCCTCTAATAAATCTCTCGGGACGGTGACTATGCAAGAACTCCGTCATCCTGTGGCTCTCCGGAACTCCGAGCTACCTGAAAGGGTATTTTTAAAAGAAAAAGAAACAACAACAAGAGCGTCAGAGCGCTACAGCAAGATTACCCCCATCCGCCCCCAGGGGAAGGGCTGCTAGGATGGAGTGGAGGTTCTATCTATTAAGCATAGTCTACCTACATCATTTTCCCCGCATCTAGTAGAATTAATATTCAGACACCTACAAAACAAGACGTAGTACGTCGAGCGAAATAATCCAAACAAGGAAACCCTCACGTATATACCATATGCCCCGATTCGTAAACATCTAAACATTAATACCAAAATAAGAATAAACAATCTAATGAAACCAATAATTAGAGATCCATAACACGAGACTGGTACGTCGATCGAAATAATCCAAACAAGGAAACCCTCATGTATATACCATAAGTCTCAAATTGTGAATCTCTAATCATTGATCCTAACTAAGAAAAAAAAGACAGTAAAAGAAATAAGATATCAACACATCGTATTTATAATATCTTCCACAATCACTGGAGAGATAGAATAAAATACCAACACATAATTTTGTATACTTTTAAAAGTAACGTATCTCAGTTATATAGTTCACTGATATGTCATATTTATAATCGGCATCTGTCATACTTAGGCTATCAAGTAATTGTCTCAGTGCGACAGACTACTTTATAGGTATCCTGAACTGTGTACACGGCTCATTAGTCTCATCACGATCTCAGTGCATAACATGAGTGCGGAACGAACTACCAAATAGGCATCCTAGAAATACAGCTCACGAGCCTCATCACACCCTAGTGCGGGACGAACGGCTAGATCAAGCCTCCTAAAATCTGACTCAATGGCCTGTACATGTGGAATATCGACGCACTATCTCATGTAGTACTGAACTGAGCTCATCAACGATATCCACCTCATATAAATCTTTGTACCTCTGATATGTCGATGCACTATCCCATATAATACTGAGCTATGCTCATCAATGATAGTTACCTCATATATAAACCGTGTATATCTGGTGTGTCGACGCACTATCCCATATAGTACTAAGCTATGCTCATCAACGACATCCAACATGTATATGAACTATATCTAATTCAAATATGATCAAATCAAAATTTATCATAATCTCCTTGGGATTCTTAAATGTATAACATAACATATTCATGACTATACGTATAACATCAAGCGGCTCAAAACTCCGTGAACGCACCTCAAAACGGCACAACATAGCTCCACAAAACGAGCAGGAAAAACAGACGTAATATCTGTTAGTAAAACAAACATATCTTTCTCTAGGAAAACTATTTTTACAAATGGTTTTCTGTTTTGAAAACTAGATTCACACATATTTCAAATGATATAAGTTTGGTTTAGTTTGGAGTTCATTTGTTATCCCAAATCTCTAGTTAAACATTATATATGTGCAGCCATTTTTCAACAGGATATGTTATTAGTAAAAAGATCATATCTTTCTCTATACAAATGATTTTTAAGATTAGTCTTTTGTTTTAGAAACTAGATACATATATCTTTCATTTGGAACTAGTTTGGTTAAATTTAGAGTTTATTTTCTATTTCTAAATCTCAGTTAAATATGATACAATTGCTGTAGTTTTCTGCAGAAAATATTTATTTAGTACATCTCTTAAATTTCTCATATATAAATGAAATTATGAAAAACCCTAATGATCATGATCGTGATACTATCATAAATAGCAAGAAAAAAAATTACTAATCTAGCATTGGTTTATGTTTTAACATCAAAAATTTAAATTTTATCACATCATGTTAAGATCCAAGCATGAAAACACATATTCAACATCATATTAAACATCTAACTAGTTATTTAACTATGGGGAAGGGTTTGGATGAATATAATCTTGCCTTAGACGTTGTTCTAAGCCTCTGAAATAACCAGCAACCAAAAAGAAGTGCAACCAAGTCGTTTTCCCCTTACTACACGTTGATAATCTCGCCCTCGTGTCGATATTTGCTTCACAAAGCTCTCAAAATTCTCAACTTTAGGGCTAGGGGTTCAGAGAGAAGAAGAGGGGCTGGTAGGGTTTGAAACTCTGATTTAAGGATGTTAATTTTCATGAAAACACATGTTTATATATATGCAAACCCGAAATAAACCCGTTTGACCCGAACCAGGAATCCTAATCTGACTAGAAAAATAACCTTCGGTATTTTGGCCATAACTTTCACGTCCGACCTTGGAATGAGGTGATCTAAGACTTGTTGGAAGGCTCTTGAAGATACCTACAACTTTTTTCTTAAGTTTTTCCAAATTCCAACTACATCTGTGAGAAAAATACAAAATCTCTCTGCTAGTCATAAATTTCAAGATTTATACATCGAGCATGAATTGTGCATTTACTCTTATATATATACATATATACATTGAATTGATCTCAAACCAATTCCTAGCATACTCAAACATCATAATATGTTATTTATAAATATATAGCATATTTATTATTATTTATCATAAAATATTCAAATTTTTAGGGTTTTACAAGAACAACAATCAATATTTAGCCAACAACATTAGAAAAGCAAGTTAATGATGTACACTAATTTCATGGAACAAGTAAAATCTTACCTTAATCACTTTCGCCTTTCGATTCAGAAACCTCTAGATTATTGAAATCATGTACTAATAAATTTCCTTTTTGAATGTCTGCCAGAGCTGTATTTAATAAGAAAAAATAATATTAATATTCTGTGATAAAATATGTAGTCCACAACAATACGAAAAAGCAATAAAGAAAAAAAGAAGGCAACTCACAAGGAATCCCGTCTAACCAAGAACCAGTGCAAATTTGAGCTTTAGCATTTTCCGGAAGAAGACGATTTTTATACTTGTCAAGCACACGACTGGCAATGGCTAAAAGTCAATTCAGAGGCCACCGAAGTAATAGGAATACTCAATATATCTCGAGCCATCATCGACAACTGAGGGCGCTTCTCGCATTCGTTTTTCCAATACTCGAGAACATTCAAATGATCATTTTTCTTCCAACTGACTAATTTTTCATCTAGATACTCTTCTAACTGCGACTTGGACCCACTGACCGACTTGGACCCACTGACCGAATATAGTTGACTCTCAAACTGTTCAAACTCAACCATCTCATCATTAGGAACATCTCCAATATTCTCTTCACCACTGCTCTCTGCAACAAATGTACCTAGAGATGCTCGCTCGTATTCTTTGTAAAGACTTCTCAATTTCTCTAAGATAGTCAACACATAATCAGAACTAACTCCAAATTTCTCAAAACAAAACTCTACATACTTCACATTGTATCGGGGGTCTAAAATGACTGCAAATGACAAAATAACACTGTAACATTCCCAATATTTATCAAATTTTATTTTCATATCATTTGCCATGGATTTTATATCTTGATCATCACTTTTCATCTCCTCCATTATGCATTTTTGAATCTTAAACAGTCCACCAAAATATAAGCTGGCAGTTGGATATTTACTTCCAGAAAAAAGAGTGGACACTTCATAAAAAGGTTTTAAAAACTTTGCAATTTTTTCAACCTTTACCCATTCTTCACTTGATGGCAAAAAAGTAAAACTTGGATCAATCAACTCAAAGTGCTCAAATGCCCGACGAAAGTTCAAAACACTCTCTAACATTAGAAACGTAGAATTCCACCTGTTGGAGACA